TCTAATTGTTTGGCGATCCATACGGTGGCCACATAAGGCCACCAAAATCAGCTCGATTGAGCAAAATCGAAAATTGAGAGAACCCTTGGCAGTGAAAGCCCTGTGTCAATCCGTGACGATTACCAACAATCTGAGCACGATCGTCGAATAACAAAGGCTGTTGGTGCGCTTTCCCAACCTTGCCGACAACGACATCATCGTTCCGGGAACGGCTCGCCTGTCCTTCCAGATCAGTCCGATGATGATAAGCGAGAAGTCGTGGGGAACCTGGGTCGTGCCATCGTGAAGAAAACGACCATCAAAATCAGCGGAAACGAAATTTTGAGCATCAACGACAGCGACGTGTTCTTCAGCTGCACGTACTTCTGGAGAACCGCGAGCGAACGGGAAAACATGAAGTACCAGGGGATTTGTCCGACCGAGTGTCCGTCGACTCGGTTGCGTGTGGGGTACGGTTTCGACCAAGCCGAACTCACCGCTGATGTCGAAAAAACATGTGGCCATCGCCGAGGCGTTCGGGAACCGATTTTGCATCTTGCTCGACTTCAAGTTGCTGGAGGGTCACATGCCGTTTTACCAAGCTGCGATGGGCGACAAGCTAGAGTACGAATTCACATTTAATGATTACACTCACGTGATCGTGATGGAGAGAGGCGAGGAGGGTCGCTACAACATCGACAATATTTTGCTGGTGTTCGACAAGGTGACGAATCCGGACTTGGCTCGACAGATTCACTGCCAGTATTCGGGCACATTAGCCATCCTGTATGATCGCGTGCTGCGTCACCGGAAGATCGTCGCGAACAAGAGCAACACGCTGTGGAATATCAACCTGAACCTGCCAGCACGATCGATGAAGGGCATGTTGATCCTGCCGGTGGAAGAATTTACGTCGTTTCGAAGGGTCAACGAAAAGTATTGGAACCCCGAGATCACGAAAGTGGAGGTGACCGTCGAGGGCGTGCCCAACCAGCTGTTCAGCCAAGGCATGCACGCTTACCATCAGTGGGACGAGATCCAAAAGTTACCGGCGATCAAGCGACCGCCGGAAATCAACGGGATCGTCAAGGACCTCGGTCTCGCCTACGTGTCGGTAGGAGAGTACCTGACGACCAAGAACTCGCTGTGGCTGGACATGCGATCCACGGAGGGATCCACAGAGGACGATCGACTGCACGGCAGCGGGCGTCGCATCGAGAACGGCAGCGGGGATCACCATCCAAGAAGGCTCAAACCGCCGGTAAATTAAATTTATATTTGTACGTGATCATGGATGCGCAGCTTAATATACAAGATGGAAGATTCGTGCAAGCCATCTCCTTACCGGAATCACCCCCGACATCGCTTGCCCACGTGACCTGACTCGACTGAGACTCACAAAAGTGTTTTCGCTGTTACCCCAACTCGAACTCCAAAAGCTGGATAAGTCCAACGCTCTAACGATCACACTGGCGAGCCAGCTGACAGCTCAGTGCTCGGAACTTTGGGTCTAGGCTGGGGTGGCTATTTTAGAGCGAGTCTTGTCGGTGCGATTCACTAAAGTTTTTATAAGCCTGTTTAAATAGTCAGGGCAGCACACAGCTATACATAACTCTATTGTTATACGCTCCAGGTAACCGGCTGTATAGGTGATAGTGCATTCAAGCTGTATATAGCTGAGCAGGTCACTCTGACTGTGAGAGAAAGAGTAGTAGTAAGATTAGGATGCGGGCCACTGGCACAGGAAATATGGTTCTCGCTATTTTTTTAAGGGGGTCTGGGAGGCTTAATTCCCACAAATAAGCCCCTAAGCCGCATCTGATGCAAAAACCCCAATCTATTACTACTGGGCGGTGGGGTAGCCTAATGGTTAAAGCGTTGGCTCGTCACGCCGAAGACCCGGGTTCGAATCCCCACATGGGTACAATGTGTGAAGCCCATTTCTGGTGTCCCCTCCGTGATGTTGCTGGAATATTTCCAAAAGCGGCGTAAAACCAAACTCAGTCAGTCAGTCTATTACTACTGCTGTAAGTATTTAAATCCGCGAAGATCCGGCTTAGAACTTGTCTTTAGCTACCTATACTTGTAAGAGACGACAAACGAGATCGGGTGGCCAGTCTTGCAGATTTGTTTGATGCATGTCATTGTTTCCAAATTATACGCGTTAAACATTCAAGCTGGGCTCGGAGTTACAAAGAATGTAAGTACATAAGGATTTCGGAAGATATAGATGAAATAATCTATATTTCAAATGGTCATAGTCCATACAGTAAGGGCTGTGGTTGTATATATGGAACTGAGAATAAAAATCTAGGGCACATTGATCCATTGACCCGTGTAATAAGCAAACGCTTTAATTCAGCTTTAGAGTTGGGCGATTGTAAATATGTACATTATTAGGATTAACCCATTGTTGAACACCATGAGGCCTCGAATAGAGATCTTGGGTCATGTCCTGGGCTTTGATCGAAGCTGACTTCTTCTATTCAAAAATGATATAATTTGGTTCCGAAATCAACATACATGAAAAGTTCAAACCGTCCGGCATTCGATGCCTTCTCTCACTATTAAACACCTGAGAATCTTTAACGATGGATATTTTATATCAAAATGAATGCAGAATGAAATCAAATTCCACGAATACTTATGTACAAAGTGGGTATCTTTAAACATGGTGATTTCAAACGCAAATAGCTTATTGTTTTGTACATATTGTGAATTATCATCCAAAACTGTGTTCCACTGGAGATATTCCTTGTGTGAGATCAAACTATATCTCCTAGGAGATATCATTTTGACAGTAGTTTGAAAAGCCTACGTTATTAAGCACAGACAGTGGCACTTAGTGTTCACAAAGCAGGAGTGATTATTTTTAGTTTTGTACTTTTAGTTATGATGTCATAAACTTGATGACGTCACAATGCTATGACATTGCTGCGCTGCAAGTGTAATGGATCGAAGCACCGTGTTCAGAGATGTACATTTTTCATTGAAGAGAAGTGAAGAGTGATTTTTCATAATAAATAAAATCTCATCCTCGTGTCTACTCATATAAATTATATCAACACTCGTTGCTGGAAGTAAAAATATCCTCGTCAAGCCTCGGATATTTGTAACTATGAAATCGTGTTGATATGATTGATATCATTAGACACTTGAGCGAGATTCTCAATTTCGCAAACTGGAGAACACTTCAGAGATTCAACAGGCCTGAGCACAAATACTGGTACAACTGCTCTGTCAAGGGAATTATACCAACCAGCCATGTTATCCAACAAGCTGGCTTTCCTGAATTCAATGTTCTGTGTAAATAGATCGATCGGATTACGTGTAGTGTATGCTGTCACAGAAAAGTACAATAATGGCATGTCTTGAAGCAGCGATCAACACCTGTTTATCTCCGGTACCACCACTGCCCCGAGACTAATATAGGTCTATATCCAGATGAATCACACAAAATGAAAGTTTTAACAAGACAGTCTCATATGCTGCATTCATGCCATGAGGGTGAAGTGGGATAGCCTAGCCACGCCAAAGGCCCGGGTTCGTTTCCCCTACATGGCTACAATGTGTGGAGACCTTTTCTAACTCCAGGATCATGAAAGTGATCTTAGCTCAAATTTCGCCTTAAGTGAGGTGAGGTGAGGTGAGGTGAGGTGAGGTGAGGTGAGGTGAGGTGAAATTGGGTTTAACGTCGTGCTTGAGAATATTTCGCTCACATGACGACGTGCATGCGTGTGTGTGTGTGTGTATGTGCGGCTGCTTGTACTAGCCCAGACGTAAGCTGGTTTTATAGTGCTAGCCCACTAAGATACCATTCCGCAGTGAAGCATGAATACCCCACTCAGACACATTATACTGACTCCGAGCCGACCAGTCCTTGTTGTACCCATTTATGCCGAGCGCCAGGCAGGGACCAACAAGTACCAAATTGTAAGGTCTTTTGGTATGACGCGGTCGGGGATCGAACCCGCGGCCTTCCGCTCTCCGGGCTGACGCTCTAACCACTACACCACGGAGGCAGTCTTCGCCTGCTGAGGGGCAGCTTTAAGAGTGAAGTGAGTGAGATTTGAGTTTTACGCTGCTTTTAGCAATGTTCCAGCAATATCACGGCAGGGGACACCAGAAACGATCTTCACACATTGTTCACATGTGGGGAATCGAACCGGGCCGGGTCTCCGGCGTGACGAGCAAACGCTTTAACCACTTGGCTATCCCACCACCCCTTTAAGAGTTAAGACTAAATATGAGTTAAGTGAATTACCGGTGAATCCCTTCCCCCCCGCCCCCGTTCCCCCGGCCTGACATTGCAAGAATGGTTGCTGAAAGCGGCGTAAACCAGAACGAACCCAGTCTGTAGTGTACTTACTCACATATATAGCATGTAAATTACGCCAATTTTTTGTTTTGATATTTATCTTCAATCAATTATCTTAGCATTTTAATCTCACAATCAAAACACACACACACTAAAACCATCACCACCCAAAAAACCCAAACAAACAAAAAAAAAAAAAACAAAATACAACCCCCAAAACAACAACCAAGAATCGAAACAACATAAAACAAAAACTAAAACTAAATACAAGAAAACAAGAAAAAGAAAGAACTTAAATAGAAAAAAAAAGAAAAGAAAAGAAAGAAAGAAAAAAAGAAACATTACATCTGCACATTCTTTGTCATATTTGTCTTAACTCAAACTTCATTTTCGGTGCTCGCATGTCGTTAAAATACTTGATTGGAGGCAGAAACTTAACTCTTCTAACCAAAGCACTTTTATCGACACCGCAAATATTCGTTGGTTTTGATTCTATAACAACATGGAATTAATCAATACATGGGATCAAACTATCAGCCAGCTTAAGGTCGATTTGACAGTTATTTCGTACTTGTGGGCACCCTTGTTTACACGTTGCTATAACTACAGACACGCACTGACCCGCGCCAACGGGTCAATGGATTTTTAACCAATCAGAACTGACGTATGCTGTCAGCCCGTAAGTGTGTCAATACTTTTCACAACAGATCAATGTGGGGAAAGTGCATAGAGAAGAGAAGATGAGCAACGTTAAGCAAACACACTTTGATCCTATAGGAGTTACTTACGATGAGGATGGAAATCCAAGAGTTAACTACAGGTCTGAGGCTGGAACCTCCTCACACCTTCCTTCCTTTGACGACGAAGAAGACATAACAAATATCTTCGACATCGCCGGCGAGGGTTATGACGTCACGCTGTCCCTGGCACAAGGAAGAATCAGCTGGCGTTCGATGAACCCAAATGGTGGGTAAACATGATTTATATAATATTAGATAACTGACATTTGGTCATATTATATTTTTTTGGAAAGAGTTCCTTCCGTTCCCCGAACCCTAAACCTAACTCTAAAACCTAACACTAAACTTACCACTAAACCTAACTTAAATTTTGGACTTTTAGTCATTTTGTGAGTTTTCTAGTTATTGTTGTGTTAAGTTTTGTTAATAATTTTAGTATATTTATAAATATTATTTGGGATGGGGGCGGGAGGAACTCGAATCTTACCATTTTTTTATTAATGGATTTGTGTGTTGGCCTTCAGTTTGCAGGGCTCGATTTAGTGCTTTGTTACTTGCACTGATGCTAGCCAATATTACAAAGTGCAACGTAGTTATTAGTCTAACTTGCACCAGGTGCAGGTCAATTTTTGAGTGGGAAAACTTCTGAATTAAACATCTCAATAATTCAATAGCATATTCCATTCATTACATATTACCATAAAAGCAGTGCAACTGGAATTTGGCTGGTGCAACTAGGTTTTTATCTCAGGTTGCACCTGTTGCAAGTAGGTTAACATCTATTAAATCGAGCCCTGGTTTGGTATTGTCCAGATCTATGGTAGATCTTGGAATTAATCCATTATTAATAGAAACAGACTTTTGGAACTTAATTCTTACATTGTTTTTATAAAAGATGAACTTTAACAGATGGACATGTATGCATTTGTACTATATATAGATGTAAAATGCACGATGTTATTTTGCTTTTCCTTCCTCGATAAGAATGATAGAATTAGGATTTCATTGTGTTGTGGTTTACAAGTGAACTGGATGAGTGAGTTCGGCTTTAGCGGCTAGTATTCCAGTTATATCATGGCATGGCAGCTTGTATTGTAGAAGACTCTGAAGCAGGGGTTCAATTTTTTTTTAAAAAGCCACTTGCCACAGGGCAAGTGACTTTAAGAAAGTAACTTGTCCTGACTAATTTTCCACTTGCCCTGATTTTAATGACATAATTATGATGATGTAATTATGAAAGAAGAAATCAACATGGTATTTGATGTTAATGTTTACTGGACTATTTATTGAAAAGTGATAAATAGCAAAGAAAGATAACTCTACTTTATTATCATTGCGAAATGTAATAGTTTCTTTGCGGTTTGAAACCATCTAGTAGCCCACGGACAAGTAAGATACCATTATTTGATTGCCCGAAATGAAAACTGACTTGTCCCGGGCATCAGGCGATGGGATTTTTGAACCCCTGTGAAGTGATGCAGGTCTCAGATGTTTACCACTCTTGTGACATCTGGACATGGTGTTGACGAACCTCAATCATAGGTTCCTGGAGAATGCCAGCTGTTTCCACACAGTGTACATTTAAACACCTGCTAATTACCTACATGTTTGCCCTTTGGCGCTCGGTTTCATAACTGTCATATCCTGATCTCAAAATTATTACAATATATACATTTAAATCAATTAAGAAATAATAATAAGTTTGTTGGAGAATGCCAGCTGGAAAGACTTTCGCCCGTATCCCCCTTAAATTTCGTTCTAGTAAAAAATCTCAAAAGTATTACAATATATAAATTTAATTCAATAATAATAAGGTTGATTCTTTCTAGACCTGCCATTAGCTAAATATGAATTAAGCCGTTCCATTATCTGTTAAAAGTTGAATTTTCTGTCTGCTAAATGTCCATCTAACGTTTGGTAATGTTTGTAAAGCAGTGAATTATTAATTTGGTATTGATATTCATACATCTGTGTCAACATTAACATTTATTGATATCACAATATACAAAGGCATCCATCATTATCTCGCATGTTGTATATGTGTTTCATTGATTCTATTTTGATTACCTCATTCAGTCTGAGGGAGACCGCCTCTGTGGTGTAGTGGTTAGAGCGTCCGCCCGGAGAGCGGAAGGTCGCGGGTTCGATCCCCGACCGCTTCATACCAAAAGACGTTAAAATATGGTACTTGTTGGTCCCTGCCTGGCACTCGGCATTAATGGGTACAACAAGGACTCCGGCTCGGAGTCAGTATAATGTATCTGAGTGGGGTATTCATGCTTCACTGCGGCATGGTATCTCAGTGGGCTAGCACTATAAAACCAGCTTAAGTCTGGGCTAGTACAAGCAGCCGCATATACACATACACACGCATGCACGTCGTCATATGAGTGAAATATTCTCAAGTACGACGTAAAACCCAATTTCACCTCACCTCAGTCTGAGGGTAAATGTGTAAATGATATGAAGTAATGATTGTCATCAGTCCGACACCTGTGATGAGATCTTACCTTACCTAGCGGGGTTGAAGCTAAGGGGTTGAAGCTAAGCGGTTCAAATGTTTCCTTGTCATTGCAAAGTTCTGAGTTTGATTCTTGACATGGGTTCATTTGTGTGAAGATTTTTTTGTGTGTCTTCGAGTATGAATGTTTTGAAAAGAGGCCTTATGCCATACTCTCTTATTCATGAACACCATGACCAGTTGAATGAACCACACCCTACCTCACCCCACCACACAGACAGACAGAAAGACAGACACAAAGACCACCAGCATATGGAAACTATCCAATTCTTCTCATTTACAACTGTGAGGTTTGATTTTTTTTTAGATGTAGAAATCAGACATATGGAGGCGCGGTGAGGTAGCCAAGTGGTTAAAACGTTCGCTCTTCACGCCGAAGATCTGGGTTTGATTCCCCACATGGGTACAATGTTTGAAGCCCATTTCTGGTGTCCCCCGCCTTGATATTGCTGGAATATTGATATTGAGTGAGTGAGTTTAGTTTTACGCCTCACTCAGCTATATTCCAGCTATATGGCGGCGGTCTGTAAATAATTGAGTCTGGACCAGACAATCCAGTGATCAACAGCATGAGCATCGATCTGTGCAATTGGGAACCGATGACATGTGTCCACCAAGTCAGGGAGCCTGATCCCGTTAGTCCCGTTAATCGCCTCTTACGACTAGCATGGGTTACTGAAGATCAATTCTAACCCGGATCTTCACGGGGTGAAAAACGAGATTGTTTGTTAGTATGAAACATGTGTTTCCTCACAAGATAGGTAGTGCGGGCAGCGCACGTGCAGGACACAGAGGTAGCATGGGCAGACCAGCATGTGCATTGCACGTGCAAGGCCAAGGTATCGGCTGCATCACATCCCAGTTGTTTTCAACAGTAAATACCAAATATTAAAATTATATGTAAAGTATATCTTCGGTCGGTTCATAAGTTGGATCAAAACTGACTCTGAAGTTTTGTTCTTTCACATCAGCACAGGTCTTCATTATTTCTTGTTGTTGGAGTTCTTTTTTTATCCATTTAAATGTGTTTTATATGTTCAGGAGGCAAGAAGAAATCGAAGGGCCTTTCATCACTGTTCAAAAGCAACAAAACCTCTGCGAAGGACACAGATGGCCTTGACCTTGAAGATGCATATGGTGTGAAAATACGGCGTCGCCGACGGGCGGAGCAGAGTGAAGGAGAGGGTTACTGTCTTGGGTTCGGACTCTTTACTTATGAGATGAAGGAATCAGCTAATGTGTTGAAAGACAAGATTTTGTTCTTCGAACACCCGAGTGAAGATATTTGTATTAGATGGGTGAAACAGATATCTTCCTATCTGTCTGGTAAGTACATTATTTGCATTTTAACATTTACTGATCCTAGGTCCTTGACAAAATGTTACTACAACAGGCACTATGTTTATAACAAGCATGCTTAGGGATCGTTCATAATTTATGGCTGGGAGGGGGTGATGATGATTTTTATGGAGAAGCATGTACAATGTGAATGACCCCCTCCCCTAAAATTTATGTACAAAATAAGTGAACCCCCTGCATGTCATGTACAAAATCAATGACACCCCCCCTCCCCATCCCATAATTTCTAAAGCATAACTTTAAGCATAATTTTATGTACAAAACTGCTGACCCACCTAGTACGTGTGTACAAAATTGATTACCCCCTAGCTCCCATTAAAATCATCATCATCATCATCCCCATCCCCCATCATCACCCCCACCCACACCACACCACACCACACACACACACATACACACACCACACACACACACACACACACACACACACACACACCACACCACACACACCACACCACACCACACCACACACACACCACACCACACCAATACCACACCACACCACACACACAGCCATAAATTATGAACGGTCCCTTATAGTAGAAGTGCCTGTAATAAACTATGGGTATAACCAAAAATAATTATAAACTATTGAGTTTGTTATGTCTGTAGTTTATTGTATAATTGCCATACGTCTATGTTAAGGTAGGATAGTGATCGTATGAATGTTTTAGCACTAAGAGTGAGTGAGTTTAGTTTTCATGGCACTGAGTGAGTGAGTTCTGTAAATTCGAGTCTGGACTCAGCAATATTCCAGCTATAAGGCGGCGGTCTGACCACCCAATCTCATTAGTCGCCTCTTACGACAAGCATGGGTTACCGAAGACCATATTCTAACCCGGACCTTCACGGGTATAGCACTAAGAAGGGTGGTGGGTTAGCCTAATGGTTAAAGTGTCTGCTCATCACGCTGAAGACCCAGGTTCAATTTCCCACATGGGTACAATGTGTGAAGCCCATTTCCGGTGTTCCCTATCGTGATATTGCTGGAATATTGATAAAAGCAGCATAAAACCATACTCACTCACTTTAGTGCTAATATTTCTTTGTGGAAACTGACTAGTGTAAAAAATGGTGGTTGTCAGTTGATTGAAACAGAGTAAGATCAGCAAATTTCTAACTATACACTTTGTCTAGATGTGAAAAATTACCATAGTAGGTGTAACAGGTGTCCAGATTAGTGTTTTAATTGATAGATGGTGACACTTAGTGCAGCCATTATAGTGCAGGTTCATTGTCTTGTCAGAGATTGAGCAAGAGAGAATAAATTTCATTCAAACATTGATGAAACTCGAAATGTTTTTAATGATGGGTACTTGGGCCCCCAAAAAATATATGTCCGTTTCCTATTACATGCTTTGTAAAAATAGGGTAGGTGGGTTGGTTTTATCTTTTTTTTATACTTTTTTATTATTTCTTATTGGCACCAGGTGGGCACCTGAGGTCTTCAAGAGTACCATATCATGTAGTGACAATGCCTTGTGATGAAACATTGAAAGATTTCTATATGAAATCATTATTTATGTTATTTATTTGCAGATTTGGTCAGTGAGGACCCATTATGCCAATTCAATGCAATCCTTTTTAGCCCTACGTACACTGATAACATGAAAATATCATACTCGATTTGGATGAAAATGATGAGTTGAAATGCACTCCAGTCATGATATTGACTTGGTTAAAAAAAGATTTAGGGTCGTGGGGGTTAGGATAGGGTCGGTCGGGTTACCGGAAACGGACATATTTATTTTTTGGCCTGGGCAATTATACGTTCCTTCTGCTTCCAATATCCTCAGAGATGCATAACTCAGTGCTGCTTAGGACAAATTATGCGCAAAGCGCAGACATTATTACCCTGGTTTGTAGTCATATGACTATCTTATGCCACCCATTCACAGTTTTGAACAAACTGACTTGCCTAAGGTGAGAACCACCACTGTGCCATGTGTGCTTCATCAGACAGAAGTCCAGAAACTCTCAGGAGTCAAGCTGCCAAACATGTTCACTCGTCCAAGGGCATTCCATGACCAATGTTGCTTAACTTCAAAACACACCACCATGTATATGGTAGTTAAAATGCGTATAACATGCCGTGCTTATAAGAAACTTAAGTAACTGGTCCCTTTGAGTTCATTATGATCTTATAGTTTACTGTGTATTGAAGCTAAATAGGTCATAAACTGGTTTTCGAGGTTTGCCAGGTTCCCTTAACAAGACAAATATGAAAGAAATGGAAGAAAAATAAGCATACTGTAAGTCTGAGAAGATCATGAATTCCGGTAATACGAAATATGACCATTGGAATTCTTTCCAAAATATTAGAATGACGAAGGCACAAAATTCCATTTCAAACATTTGACGAATCAGCATTTTCTCATTAAGTGTTGGGTTGATCAGCTGCAGATCTAGATATGAAACTTTTATCTATACACATATACATAAAAACAAATTTAATTATCAGTTGATATGTCGATAAAGTGATGCTTTTGAGTCAGTGGATTGAAATTTCCAGTCAGAGATGCGTCAGGCAAAAGTCAGGATAAATCTGTTGTAATGCTTAAAAAACACATCAATTTTGATTAACTCTGGCTTCAGTGATCCTGGTGGTCCTCAGAGGATGGAGATATGCCGTTATGTTTCATTAGAGGTATTGATTGTACCTGCATGTGAGCTTGTCCTTGGAGACCATCCCCATCAACAATGGATGGCCATGTCAATAATTAACGTACGAATGGCAAGACGTTATTGATGTACTGTACAATGTCAGGCGCCGTTGGTCACGTCCAACTAGTCTGCAGCTCTTCATGGACCTGTTAGGTAATCTAACAAGATTTTGGGAGAAAACTGCTCTTTTACCTTGATTGTAACTAGTGGTGTTCCGATTAATTGAAATAATCGAAGATTGGTCGCAGTGACCAAACGACCAAGCAATCGGTCACACTTTCTCAAAATCGAACACAAACGAATTTGGAACTATAGGTTTAGTCTTTGAAACACTTGACGACGGAGCATATCTTTGAAGTTGTCAGGGCCTGAAAATGTGTTTAATTGTTAGAATACTCACTTGACTAACTGAAAAGTCATGACTGAATATTGCTTGAAGACTCCAGGAAGTTTGTCTTCATGGTATATTAGTTATCACATTAAAGTAGCAAGATGGATCATGTTATACTTATCTGCAATAACAACCTGAATAGAAAAATGTGAAAAATAATGCTAACCAATTTTTTTTCTATGATTGATTGGTTGTAATGAAACAATCATCAATTATGAGATTTTAACCAATTCCCAACACTAATTGTAACTTAAATCTGTGACTTATGCACTTAGTGAGTTTAGTTGTTCTTAGTTTTTAGCAATATTAAAGCGATATCATGGCGGGGAACACCAGAAATGGGCTTCACACATTGTACCCATGTGGAAAATCGAACCTGGGTCTTCGGCGTGACGACCAAACGCTTTAACCATTAGGCTACTCTACTGCCCCTAATGGATTAGTGACTGTCCATCTCAGCTGTGTGTTTCCTTACTCATGCATGTGATTTTACAGACAGATTCTCTCACTAAACACAGGCTTTTTCCTCGACTCACAAACACAGGGGTCCCCAATTATTAGTTTTAAGGGTCCTTTCGGGCAAAATGAGGGTCCCGTGAGGTAACAGTGTAGAGAACTGTACGTTTTGGCATAGAATCCAATATGTACCCCAAAATTTCAAATGAAAGATTTGGCCCCCATAATTGTTTTTGATGTTCACCAGTTTCAATGCCAGTTACTCTCAAAAGAAGAACTAATATGTGGAATGAAATTAATCCTTGCTCAACACTGAATACATCATTTGAAATGAAAATAAATATTATTATACAGAGATGTAACATTTAAAACTATCTGAACCTGCTTTTGTAAGTATTTGGCCACGTCAGTCAGAAAGTAACCTTTACTAATATTATTTTGTTGAGTATATTAAGACAGTCTGATAAAAAGCACATATGTAGTATTACATAATTTATGTGTATATGTGTAGACTAACGCTTAGTCCCGGAATATATATTATTTTGATAGTAACAAATAAACCCATTCAAATTGAAAAGGAGCCCCAGTGAGATGGGAGATTCCCGAACCTGGGGAAATCTAGACTTGCTTCATTTAGAGCTTTAACAATGCAGGGAGGGCTGGGCAGTAGGGAAAATAATGTGGTTCAGGGACTGTGAGACAGATTAAATGTATCTGATACTATTACTGTATTAATGCTTATCATGTGTAGTAGGGCCACACCAAACAGCTTGCATGTCATTGCCGTGTGCATGTCACATTAAGAAACTAAAAGGAATGATCTCCTTCACAGTTATTGCCAATAATGTGTGTGTCCAGTTTCTTATGTTGTTTAGACAACCTGGTCAAGAGCACATATGTAGTAATACATATTTTTTATGATGAGTGAGTGAGTGAGTGAGTGTCTTTAGCTCCTCCAAACTTGGAGATTTACAATTGAACAGTAGAGAAGAGTTAGTTAAGTGTTACGACAAATGAGTCTGCTGGAGAGAAAGAATAGTCCCACAGGGGGTAGCAGTTTAAGATCCTCAATATCGAAGGAGTGTCCCCCAAGCAGAGTTCTTGTTTGTTCATCCAGTTCCATGGAGTCCAACATGACATACACGTCTACGCCAAACGTGTCCAAGATGGAGAGCCACAGAGTCTCTCGGTTGTCGCAAACACGCTGGTCAGGGCATTCATGCAACAGATGATGAGGCAGGCACTTATAGTCTGCCGAGCATAGCTGGCAGTTACCTGGTCTAACTGGTGTAGCAATCATATTCACAACACCTTTGAGTGCACGCTGTAGATGAGGGATCTGTCGTCCCAGAGTCCAGAGCTTGGAAGGTTTGTAAGATTGATGCAGATAATGGAACAGGGAGAGTTCTACATCGCTTGAGGTCTTCTGCTCAAGCAGTGTTGTTTCAAGCTCAGT